ATATTTAGGTTGAGACTAAAGATAATTGATTTACTGGCCTTGTTCCAGGTGTGTTGTTTGGTTACAATTTCCAAAAGAAGCCTTGTTCTTAGGCTTCAAGTTCATATTCGAGTCTCATTCTTAGGCTTCAAGTTCATCAGAGTCTCGTTCTCAGGCTACAGAACTGATCATGTAATTACACATTATGTATTTTGTGTATTCTTTGGAATGCCAGACACATTGCAACCTTCATTGTCCCAGGATCCTGGACTGACAAAACAGGAAGAGACCTTGAGGTATGTTTAAAATGATGGAATTGTGTAAAGCTAATTTAAACTCCCATAAGTCTTTCCATCTTGTGAAGAAAAAAAAAAGACAAAATAGCATTGTATGGTACTGCCTCTAGAGGGGCCTATAGGATCCTATGGAGATTCTTAAGCAAAACAAGTGAAACATAAACTTAGTCCAATCTGAAGCTCGAATTTGCTTTTTTTATGCAGTCAGATACATTTAAACAAAAAATATATATTTTGCAAAAAAAAAAACATTAAACTTTTCAAACTGAATTTTAATCAACATATGTATATTCATACAGTTTCATAAATATGTAATATGATATATATATTTAAAACTATAAATATGCTATAAACTCATTGGTCTCCAGCACAGCACTCAAATTTAACTTAAGTCAAAATGACAGTGATTTCCTAGCAATAACATTATTCATGTTATAATGTGTTTGAGTGTGTGTGGGTATGTGAGCTGTTTATGCATTGGGAATATTATATAGTCTCAGCCCTTTCGGTTGGGTATGTGTCTTTTGTGGATTGTGTCAGATTTTGTATATGTGACCTGGAGCAAAAAAAACAGTCATAAGGGTCAATTTTTTGAAATTGAGATTTATACATAATCTGCGTGTGCAAAAAAAAAAAAAGAAAATTGGGGGAAATCAACTTTAAAGTTGTCCAAATGAAGTTCTTAGGAATGCATATTACTGATCAAAAATTAAGTTTTGATATATTTATGGTAAGAAATTTACAAAATAGCTTCATGGAACATGATCTTTACTACTTATCCTAATGATTTTTGGCATAAAAGAAAAATCGATCAATTTGACCCATACAATGTATTGTTGGCTATTGCTACAAATATACATGTGCTACTTATGACTGATTTTGTGCTCCAGGGTCACAAATATGTATTTAAAAAAAAATAATCTAATGTAGTAAAAAAAAATTTTTTCGGAAACTTAATTAATTCCTATGCGTCAGATTGACCCGTGAGGGAAGGATTTGTAACTTTTTTTTTTTTTTTATTACAACCACAGAAACTGCGTATCCACATTTTTTTGTGAGCGTGTTCCCAATTCAAGTCTGACAAAAGTCATAAAGTCTCATACCATAATGATCAATACTTGGTTTTAAAAAAATAAACTAAAATCATTTTCGGGTCGAAATGATCCTAAAAGGATTAGGATATGTATGTATACATGTTTAAACAAGCCAGCAGTTGTTTTTAAAACTAACTGTGGATGCACATGTCCTTTTCCAGTGTTTTCCTCAACAGTGTTCAGGGAATTTCTGTGGCATCTACATGCTGATGGTAAGAATGTTTCATTGGGCAAAGCTGTTAAATAATAAAATCAAAGTCTTAGTGTTATTTGTATTTCACAGTATGCTCTCAGCACCTGTACATCATGCCCACTAACATTCACAGAGGTAAGCTATATTTCCACAAAAATATACCAAACTACATTTGTGTTTTTTTTTTTGGTTTGTTTTTGTTTTGCACTCTTTTAGGAGGAGGTGCCACCGATTCGCCAGTGGTGGTGCATTCAGTTTGCCTTGAAGGGTATGACAGACTCTACAGTAGAGGTCTACACGGGTCCAAAAATTCGTGCCCGGCCCGTGCAGAACCGAGAAATGTCAAAAATGTACTACCCGGAATCAACGCGGACCCTCAATTATTTGAAAGATGGACCCGAACCCGGCCGGGAAGACACATCGGCACATATTCCACAGCAAATTGCTATTAACAAGTCGATAAACAAGTTGCGAAAATTCAACTTTTTGTCTTGCCTAATGTAAGAAGCCTTCTCCCTTGTACCTGACTGTGATGCACACAATCCTCCCGGCCAAGAAAGTTACATCCGTGTTATTCCGCTCTTGCCAATTGAAATGCGTAATCCACTCATTATTCCAGTTTCAAAAGTCCACTTGCTGTCACGGTGATGGATGACAAATGCGACTTTGCATTTTTTGTATCTCGAGTCAACTTGCATATTAATTTAGACTGTTTGCCCATTTGGATTATAATAACGATTACTCGTCCAGTGCCATGGCTGCTGACGTTAGCTTTACTTATTTGCTATCATCTCTGTGCTCTCTGAGCAGAGTCTGATCAAAAATTTTAGATATAACAACAAGATGGTTCATTCATAATATTATTTTAAAAAATAATCAATAATAACTCGCATCACTCATGAAGATATCCATTATCACTGTGCGTGTGCATTACGCCCTGTGTGACAGCAGATTTATTATAGGCCTACCCCTGTGACCACCTCCTTTTTAAAACATCAGCACTTCTTTCAACTGTTACTCGTGCCTTGGTATGTGCAGAATTGTATTTTTCCTCTGCTTGCGTGGACGGATTTACGTATAGTGTCATCAACCACTTTTGAAAGTGAAAGTGACATGTGGCCAAGTATGGTTACCCATACTAGGAATTAGTGCTCTGCATTTAACCCGTGCACGCACCCACGCACGCACGCACACACACCCGGAGCAGTGGGAAGCCTTTTTTTTTTGTTGCTGCGGCGCCCGAGGAGCAGTTGGGGGTTCAGTGCCTTGGTCAAGTGCACCTCAGTCATGGTATTGAAGGTGGAAGAGAGCGCTGTACATTCACTCCCCCCACCTACAAGTCCTGCCGGACCTCAGACTTGAACTCGCAACCGTTGGGTTACCAGTCCGACTAGCTAACGACTCCCCATTTTTTAAGTGGGTATGTAGAATCACCCAGCAGAATGACATATACTCGCCATAATCAAATTTGTCATAGATGTTTGATCTCTTAAGGATAAAGCTGTCGTGCTTTGAACCAGGGCGTCTAACGACATAAATTTGGGTCACAGATGACTTGGGTGTTTAGCGAATGAAAGCCCTTCCTATTAACAAAAGCATTCTCATCCACTGTGGGTGCTTATATCTTGATTTGTGTCCCATCAATGCAGCCAAGTACATCAGGGAAACCGGCAAGAGAATGGGATTTTTGCCTGTTTGCATTTTGTCCGTTAATGCTTGGCATGCATATGTAGTTTTTCATATGGCGACAGAGGGCAAGTGACACCCTGCGGACCACTCTACATACATTCTGCATTGATCCTGTTGCAAAATAGCGTAAAGCGATGCACACTTATAGGCTTGGGGAGAGAGCGCCGTTTTGATGTGATTTAATCTGGCTGCCATCTCTTTTCGACCGTTATTCATGGGCAGAGGCTTCCGTAAATATTTAGTTGGAACGTAGAGTTACGTTTAAACTAAGTTTAATGGTGCAACGCAAAAATATTTAGTAGAGCGTAAGTTGTAACTTAGTGTCTTTTTACGTCGCAACTAGGTTATGTTGTAACTTGCGCACAGCTGGTGCAACCGGCCTGGTACGTTGACGCATCCGCCATTTTGGAACGGTCAACTAGACATCATTCACCATAACAATCAATGAATATTCAAAGATATACAAGCGTATAACTTGCTGTAGTAGACGCACACAGTCAACACGCTCAAAGGTTCGCAGACTGTTCCAAAAATGGCGGATGGCTTACTTATTACGGGCCATAGAAAGAGTCGATAATGAGGCATCTACGTATATATATCTATGGTCGAGATCCCGAAGCGCAGATTTTTCGAAACACTGCTCTGAAGTGTGATGCGAAACACCCATGTCACGTGACTAAGACGAATCAAAGCATCATATAATATAAAATAATTAATCTCATAACATTGTTTATTGCAGTTGTAATTATTGTTATTTGCAGTGTAAATTATTTAATCTGACTGGTAGCAGCTCTAGTGTATATTGAATTTATTGATAAATTGTAATAATTTGACATGAAAGATGATGCATGCATCTAAAAAGGTTAAAAATAGGCCTTTGTAAAGGTAAATATGCAGATTTAAGTATGTAAAAGCTGATAGAACACTGATGAAACATTGCTTCAGAATAAATGGTTTACTCCACCAAAAATCTCAGTGATGCAGTTATTTTGCGGGGATATTTTGTATGGAATATTGTCTGCTGTGAAAAGTTCACTGTATATCATAGTAATAAATACCATTTATACATACAGCATAGATATTTTGTTTTCTTTTTAATTTATACACATTAAATATTACATATATGTATGTAATAAAATGTGTATTTCCATTACAGGCTTAGGTCTTAAATTTCATATAAGGTGGTATTAAAAAGGTCTTAAAAAGTAATAAGTTACAATTGAATGTTAAAATGTGTTTTAAACATAAACTTAAGTGCTTATTACCCATTTTACTCTTAGTAATTTAATAATTTAATAAATTTCATTATTTTAAAGTTTAGTTCAGAAGTATCGTATCGGTATCGATATCGACGATACTGCCTTGGAAAATATCGGTATCGTATCGAAAACAAAATAAGTGGTATCGCCCATCCCTAAACTTGCCGCTTGACCTGCATGCCTATTTTAAAAAATGGAGGGGGTGACAGTTAAGGGGTTAAGAGTATACGCACTGGGGTCCACCACCCTAATTCACCAAAGTTCACTCAATTAAAAATGTCTGGCTTCGTTTTGTTTGCCATTTCTTCACTGGCTACAAATAACGAAAATGACACAATTGAAATTAGAACCCCGTTTTCACACCAGTAAACAGTGTGTATTTAAATATGAATTTCTCTCAGGAATAAAAACCCTGTCATATATTTGATTGTTTGCCTGTATGTGTAAATGTGATTTTTAGCTCGCGAGCGGGACTTTTATTCTGGACTGGCGATGTGACGTCATAAGGCTCCGCCGGGCTGCTGCTGAAGAAAGGTTTGTGTTTTTAACCATTTAAAGTTTTTAAATGTATGCAAACCGTTCCGTCTGTTGTATGGCTTCTTTCACAGGCGACGTAAAACTAAGCAAGCATCATTTAATATAATATTGCAATACTTTATCTAACATTACTGGTCGTTATTTTGTGTAAGTGAAGCGCATGCATCCATATACAGAGTAACAGAAAAGGCGCGTCTCATTTCGCTCCATATTTTGTGAAGCAGTTGATCAGAACCATGAATTCAGCGCTGGTAAGTAGTGATGGGACATTGGGCTTTTCGAAAATTCGAGTCAACTGAACCAAATGCTTGGCGAAATGATTCAGTGTTTGGCGCGCGAGTCCCTGCACACTGAGGACACCTGGTCAAACTAGTGTAAATGCAGCATGCTTTCACAAATGTTTTAATGAAAGTGCAGTCTCTTTAAGTGCAATCTCTTCTTAGCTTCAAATAATTCAATATAAACCATAGCTAAACATGAAGAGACTGTAAAATGTGTGATCTTTTTTTTTTTTATTAGAAGTGCTGGTTTATTAATAATATTATTATTATTTATTTTTGGACTTTTTTTTAAACTTAATCGGGCCTGACTACTGAAGTAGAGAGCTGACCCGAAGCACACCCTGAGATTTAGATTGGATTCATGTTGGTTTCTGTTAAATGCATGCTTATCTTAAACTTGATTATGTTTCCAAACACACAGAACAGCTCTGGTTGAAGGAACTGAGGTCCATGTGACGCACTGTTAAAAAGATGGCGTTTATTAAAGTGGAGAGCGAAGACATGATGATTGAAGAAGCGTTCAGAGTCAAGCATGAAGATCCCGAGGCACAAACAGGTTGGTTTTCATTCTCGAAGGTGAACTCAGTCGTTTGATCCTTATTAAAATGTTGTACAGAAGTGAATGATGTTTTGGAAGAATGTCGTATGAGCGTCCTAATTAGAGCTGATTTATTTTGATATTGAGTGGGTTGACTGGTGTGGACAGACATGTTTGAGATCACATGAGCAGTCGAATACTAATGCTGCCTTTAAGTTAACTTATTTCCAAGTTGGGGGCATTTGGTATTCTGACTTGTCATGCTTTCAGTGTTGCCAAACCCCTCCCTCAGAAAATCTCTAGAACCACCCTCAAAAGTCTCCATTTTTCACAAAAAGTCGCCAAATATGAAAAATGACAAATGCTTGTGATCTGCAAGCACATCAAGCGTGATGGAAAGACGCAATGTTGGGAATTTGTTTTGTGTGTCACCAAAGTGCATCCCTGTCCTGCTCGAATACAACAGAGAAGAGATATTATGATTCTCCAAAAACTTCATTCATACAAACTTATTTCAGTCAACACACTCTATTGCTACAAAGTAAGTGCAAAATACTGCATCCCAGTACACATGACACGATGATGCACTGTGTGTGTCTCTCTCTCTCTCTCTCTCAGTATCTGGATGACATGACTGTGCATGAATTGTGGTATAACTTTTGTGTCCGTCGTTAAAACAACATGTTAATTTTTTTTCTCCGGCATCTTGATTGATGCTTAGAATGCAATTGTGGTGTGCGTCATGGCAGGCGTGGTGTACTGATGTGTTCACTGCGCAGACTCATTGGCATGATTGAGAGCAAACGTGAGCGGTCACGGGCCTACGGCAGGGTGTGGCCAAGTAAAAAGTCGCTAAAAAATTGCTAGTTTTATTTAAATATAGCTAAAATAGCTCCTTGTCACAAAAATAAAAAAAAAGTCGCAGCTACAATGAGAAAGTAGCTGCATTTGGCGACAAAATCCCCAAATTGGCAAGAGCAAACGTGAGCGGTCACGGGCCTACGGCAGGGTGTGGCCAAGTAAAAAGTCGCAAAAAAATCGCTAGTTTTATTTAAATATAGCTAAAATAGCTCCTTGTCACAAAAATAAAATAAAAAAGTCGCAGCTACAATGAGAAAGTAGCTACATTTGGCGACAAAATCCCCAAATTGGCAACACTGCATGCTTTAAATAAGGGAACATAATATGAAAGTAGTTTAAAACGATTATTACCGTAAAATAAATGACTACCCAATAGCAACTTCAAAACTAAAAACAACGAAAATCATTTTTATCATTTAACTGTACAGAACATTTATTTTGTATAAATCAGTGACGTGTGTGACTATCTTTTACTTTTTTTTTTTGTCTTCGAGTCATTTTTTTTCTTATCCTTTGGTGAAATATTTTAGCAAAAACATTAATATCAGTTAAATATTTATTGAATCAAGCCTTTAAAATCCAGTGACCAGCAACATAATAGATGGTTTGAATCATAGGCGGCGGGTGAACCAACTCCAAGTAAAGGCCCATTCACACCAAGCACGATAACGATATAGTTCTAAACATCGTTCTCAATCTTAAAGAATAGCAGCGTTCACACCACAGCTATAACGATAAAGGCACAGAGAAACAATATCGTTGTAATCACTTGCAGAACGATTTTTTTTTTCCAGCTGATGTACGATAAAAACACTGACAGCCAATCAGAATCAATCCTGCTGTGACGAGCTCAAGAGTTTAAAGTGGCAGATGCGCGTGTGCTTGGAATAAACAGACGATATCGTTGGCTGGTGTGGACGCTAATATCGTTATCGTCTTTTTAAGCAAGAACCAGACGTGGGTGTCATGTAAGCTAAAAAAAAAAAAGTTTAATATGACTGAATTTGTATTTAACGTGATTACAATTGAATAAAAACGTTACAAAATGGATGATTATATAACGTTTCTTTTCCACGGTTATTCAAACGGCGAATAAATTATATATAGAAAGTGACATTATCACTAACATTGATCTATCGCGAGTTTAAGCACTCTCAAAAAAAACTAAACTATCGTTATAATCACTGACGCTGTATACACTGTGAAATTAATCTCTTACTTGCATTGTACGTACATCTGTGCTTTGTTGTTTATGATGAGAGAATTCGCAAGAGTTCGGAATTCACTATTCACTGCGTAAAAACGCCTAAAATGAAATGTGGTGCAATATGAGCACATCTTAATTTAATGCCGCAATCGACACTGTCTATTCATATTCACTTTTTTAGCAACAGACGTAATAGATTTAATTTGTTTGTGCAGGGGCATTTTTGACCAATTTAGCGACATTTTTGCCCCAAGTACCCGTGGCCTTACACACACTCCACTAGGGCTGGACAATAATTCAATATCAATATGTATCGCGATATTATTTTTTTCAATAACGGTGATATGATTTTTAAACACATTTCCGATATTTCAATATACATTACCAGTTTCCCAAACTTTTATTTATTTGTGCCGTTTGACTTCGTTGAATAAACAAGCTGTCTTTCACTTCAGCTGCAGCGCGAATGGCTAGAATGCGCAACGCTGCAAATCCAATGTTGAGGCTCCGCTATTATTATTGCATTTCATTAGTGCCACTTATTTATGCGCGTTTGTTCGCGGGAAAGTGAGCAAGACACGACAGTGATTATAGTTAAATAAGATGAAAGACATAGGCTATAATATAAAGAAATTAGCTACATTTATTTTCAAATTAAATATCACATCACACATTTATCATTCAGTCTAGTGCGTTTTACATATAATGTAAGCGCAACTTGTGTAGATTTAAAAAGGCATGACTGCTTAATTTTGGTGTGTATTTGTATACTTTTACCATCTAATCAATCTCAGCATGCTTTCAATTGGTATCGCTAGACGTTTAGCCTAAGTCTTTCTTTGAAACTTGAATTACTAAAACTAAAACTAAACACAAACTAAATAGAAATGTGTTCACAAAATAAAAACGAAACTAAAACTAACTGTTTCTATTTTGAATAGATTTTAAAATGTAATTTATTCCTGTGATCATACATAGCTGTATTTTCAGCATCATTACTCCAGTCTTCAGTGTCTCGTGATCCTTCAGAAATCATTCTAATATGCTGATTTGCTGAATATCAATATTAAAACAGTTGAGTAAATTTTTTTTTTTTCAGGATTCTTTGATGAATAGAAAGATCCAAAGATCAGCATGTATCTGAAATAAAAAGCTTTTGTAACATTATACACTATTCCATTCAGTATAATTTTTATTATTTTTTGGGAAAGAAATTATAGAAATTAATAATTTTGTTTAGCAAGGATGCTTAAAAATGATCAAAAGTGATGATAAAGGCATTTATAATGTTACAAAAGATTTCTATTTCAGATAAACAGTGTTCATATCGATATCGGAATTATATCGTATCGACCGAAATTAAGAAATATATCGTGATATCAATTTTGGCCATATCGTCCAGCCCTACGCTCCACCTATGGTTTGAATCAAACTGCTTGATTGTTAGCGTCACAAACAGTTCAAATCAAAGACATGAATTAGCCTGTATATATACTAAAGAAAACATCTGTTGTGACTTTCACATCTTCTAAAACCTCAGTTGTAAATGTAGCATCTGAAGTCGATCTAGGATAAGTGCTGAGACCAAAACATAAATGTTGTTAAAAATTTCGTAAGTTTGTTTTTAAAAAGTCCTTAAGTTTTGCCTCTTTGTCGCCATCTCTGGTTGAAAACCTGCAATTGCAGCTGTGTGCAGAATTATCTTCCTTGCGTGGGTTTGTGCGCGCTCCAGTGCGGATTAATCTAATGTTTTGAGTATGTGTGGCTGTCAGTCACCGCACCAGTGTGGATATTCACAGATTATAGCCTACTTCTTGGAGTCTAATTCACCGGATATTGTCATCTGAACAATTAAGTAACAAGTCTGCCACGTTTGTTCTGACCAACTGAGGAAAAAAGCATTACCATAAATCTCGCTACCAATGGTGATTAAATCTAAAGATCAGTTAGCTCATATCACATCAAACCGTTCAAATTCTTAAGTTTTGTTATACTTCATTCTCAAATTGTTAATGTTAACAACATCAGCATTGCATGACTATGAGTATAGAGTGTATAAGCGAGTAGATTTCAATTTCTGTACAGTCTCATCTCTAATTGTCATACCACTCGAATTTCATATTAAGAAATTCTTTTAACCCAAAAAGCAAATTATGCTCCCTTCGAACTGGTTGTCTTTAAAATACAAGTCTTTGTAATCCCAGGCTATCTGTAATCAGAAGCACATTTAAAACTGGAATATAATAAAATTTCATTCACATGTGTTTCACAAACACATAATCCTTTCTGGATTACAATCCACCATTACAATGATGCATTTAATTATTCCGGCTGCTGTGAGAAAAGGCTATAAACGATCCTCCACCTGCAGGATCCTCACATGCAATAGCCTAGTAGCCGGGACAACTTCTTTATGTTTACAGAAGTGACGTAATGACGCAGCGGCATGCTCGAATTTCCCATGAAAACCTACCCGTACCACTCAAATGAGAAAACATTATTATAAGCTGACCGTTGTGAATCGGGCTAAAGTAAGGCGATAGTTTCGAACACTGGCTAGTTATGTACTTGCTCAAATATTGATTTTGGATAATTTTTAACCAATAAAAAGTTACGGACTGCAGCTTTAAGTAACAGGTTTTACAGAGAGACTGAGACTAGCTCTTATATGATACTGTGACTGAGCGCGGTTTGCTACTTACAGCTAAATAATAACATTGCCACAATGAAAATGTATTTTTTTTAAAGTAATGTAAATACTGTTTACTGGCTGATAAGAAATATTTTGGCAGGTACATTTTCTCAGTTCACTCTCCGTTGGCAGGTAAGCATATTTTATTGGGTTGTACTGGGGAAGTCGTGGCCTAATGGTTAGAGAGTCGGACTCGTAACCCAAGGTTGCGGGTACCGGCAGGGATTGTAGGTGGGGGGAGTGAATGTACAGCGCTCTCTCCCACCTTCAATACCACGACTGAGGTGCCCTTGAGCAAGGCACCGAACCCCCAACTGCTCCCCGGGCGCCGCAGCAAAAAATGGCTGCCCACTGCTCCGGGTGTGTGTTCACGGTGTGTGTGTGCACTTTGGATGGGTAAATGCAGAGCACTAATTCCGAGTATGGGTCACCATACTTGGCCACATGTCATGTCACATCACTTTAATGTAAATAGACAACGGTCTGATTGATGGGTTGATTTATTTAAATGTGTATCACCTGAATTTATTTTAGAATTTTTGTCTGGTGTAGATCTGAAATGTCTTTTATAACTTTTTGTTAATTGTATATTTTTTGTAATTTATATAAAGATATTAGCATCCACTCCAGCGGATGATATTGTCTGTTTATTAATCGTTGTAGCTGTGGTGTGGACTCTGCTATTCTTTAGTATTGAGAATTTTTTTTCGAACTGTATCTTTATTGTTGTCTTTATAGTTATTGTCCTTGGTGTGAACAGGCTTTAATAGTCTGCGATATTGGCTTGCTGGTTATTTATCCTTTTTTTTCCATGCATTGGTAAGTCTACATTAATTTTAATGTTTGGAGTTTCCAGATGTTAACAAGTTAAATTCTCCAATCAGAGATTTTATCTTAAATGGATATATTTTCTGCCCAGTGTAAATGCTTGTTGAACCAATATTGATTCTTAAATGTCAAGATCAATAATGTTTTTTTGCTGTCAGTTGATGAACGAACAATTTCACTTAACATTATTTGCACCGTGTCTCCTATCGTATAATCACAAAAAGCCTTGTTTTGTTACTTTCTTTTCTTTTCTCATGAACATATGAACCTCTATGGCCAACCTGACCATCTCATTTGCTATATTTTCAAATATCCGAGGGGTTGTGGGAGGCGGTCCCTCATATTATTTGTTTCAGTTTAACACCACCTTGGAATCAAATTATTAGATACATTTACTGTGAAATGACACTATGTAAATGGAAAGTATAAATAAAGAGACAAAATGAATGAAATAAACATTGCACTGTGTTTGATTTATAGTGTGAGAATGTACAGGTATGCACATGGTTTCAGTCTGTAGTTGAATATGGCAATTGTTGGGGCTAATTTTGTTAGCAGGTGCAGGTTTTGTAACAGCTAAACATTCTAGCAGTCATACCTTTCCCTGCTGCCGTTTTGAAGCGCATTCCTCGTCAAGTGGACAAGGGAGGTTTATATGGAAAGACCCTCATCCCCATGATTTTCTGTAACTCAAACTGATGTGGTTTTTCTTACAGAAGCGCCAAAGTCTTGTCCAGCCAGACTTCGTATCATTCTTCAAGACCATGACATTCGCAAACTGGACTTGCCTCAGGGAATCCCTGGGACTGTGAGTGAACTTGAGTCTATTGTGAGGAAGACATTTGTCCTTAATGGGAACTTTACTTTGCATTATAAGGATGCTGATTTCGGGGAGGAATATTTTTCTCTTACCTCAACAAGTGACATCAAGGACAAGGACACAATTAAGGTGATTCACATTGTTGAACCGCCTACACTTACTCTGACTTTTACTGATGTGGAGAGTTCCATTAAAAGTGCATCAAAGACCTGCATCCAAACCTCGGTCCACACTTCAGTGACCGACATCTGTCCTTCTATCAGCGGTTCCTTTTCTGGATCGCAGGATACACTGATTCTTCCATCATCTGAACACAAGACTCAGCGTTCACAGCGTTGGCCTACTGAATTCTCAGTACCTCGCTTTGCCTATGATACCGAACTTGTGCTTGCCGCAGGAAGTGAAGCTTTCAAGAAGGATGGAATTCAACTCAACTTTACACCAATCCTTCCAGACATCCTAGAGAAGCTGGCTGAAAACATCTTTCAGTATGTGGCCTACCCAACAAGTGCTCAGTTGTCTGATGTTGCCGAGGCGCTGGTTCAGAAATATCCCTGCCTTAAAGAACCAGGCTCACATAATGGATGCTATGGATGGCGACAGAGACTAAAATATAAAATGGGCAACTATAGAGCAAAACTGAGAGGGCTTGGATGCCCTGAGCTCGATGTTAACTCTCTCAAAAAGAAACGAGCACATGAAAAAGCACCTGCAAAAAATATTAAAAAGCCAAGAAAAGCAGAGGTGAACTTTTTACCCCCTCACCCACAAGGAGAAACTGAAGAAAGCTTGGAAAATGAAAGAGTGGAGCTCCTTAACGAATTAAAGAGGGGTATGAACTATCAGATAATCAGTGAAAAAATGGCAAAGACATTCTCTATTCGCAGGCAGGAAATTGTCAGTCAAGCAACACCAATCAATGACTTAAAATACAGATGGCCTGCACTTTTTGATGCAGCTCAGGTAAATCTATTTTCATCAAATAGTTTGCAGTTTGTGCTAGATTACATTCAGTTTTCTACATTAACAAATTGTGCCTTATTTTTACAGATAAACGAAGAATTCAGAAGGATCACCACTGTTGACCTGGAGGCAACGTTCATGGCAAAACTGGACCAGTACTCTCCTAAAATGATGTCCTTGGTGTTCTCAAGGGGACGGTCTTCAAAAATGAGTATTCAGCGTATTAAGAACATGCTGCTAGAGGTATGAATAAATGTAACGGTTACAAATAGAAACAGTGTTCGTGTAGATGATATTGGGTGGGTGGGTGGGTGGGTTGGTTGGGGTGCGCTGTGCTGGGTCAAGTCAAGTGAATTTTATTTGCAGAATGCTATTAACAATGCACATTGTGTCAAGGTAGCTTTCCAGAAGTTCATAATACAAACGCAAACAAACAAACATTGTCTTTCAGAGCCTGTTTGCAGGTAGAAACACTGTCCTTCAAAGCAAATTGAAATGTCTCTAATTTTGTACTCTTCCATCTGCACTTCAACGGAGTTAAGAATGGCAAATAATGTAAATACTAATCATAATGAATAATTTTTATAGTTTGTGAGACTGTTGAAATCACAACATTATCTACTAGATCCTACAGAAAAAAAATTAAGGAAGTCCGTCTGTTGTTCATTTTGTGTCGCTATAGTGTGAATATTGGAATATTTGATGGGTGGCCAGAAATACAATTTCAAATGAATAATACAATTATTATTATTTTAATGATCAATTATGTGATTTTAATTAAACTGGGTAGAAATCAATAATTGGTACAGTTTAGTCATGAACCTCAACTTTAAGTCTTTTTTTTTATAAAAGAGTTGTGTATTTAGAAACCCATTTCGATGGACAAGCAGTCAAACACTTTTTTTCCTTTACAGGATTATTCTTTGGAAAGCAGGAGAGAGGCTGCTATCCGTTCCTTAGTAGTATATCTCAGAGAAAATGAGGAAGATCTGTTTAAAGAACATTCGGTAAGTCAGACATACTGTACTTTGTGTTAATCTGATTTTCAAATATGATAACTTAAACTGACATTGATTTTGACCTGCTTAGGATGGTGGGGATATTGCCAATGAAGTGATGAAGATTATTATAACTAGAGGTTCCACGATATCAGAACCAGCCAGTGCAAGGATTGTGATTGAGGGAACAGAAGTCCAGCAACACCTGGACGTAGCCAGGGCCTGTGCATTGCTAATGGGGCTAATATATGCACTCAACCTCAGCTACCCAAAAGAACTGAAAAACACTTTTGAGGCATTTCAAAAGATCTTCCTTGAGCTGGATGATATGAAAACTTGCCCAAAGGTAATGTCTCTAAAAAACAAACTGCTGTATTAAAACTGTGATGAATTAGGTTACTGTCATCAAATTCAAATGTGATGTGAAAAAGTTAAGTTGTGCATACAATTGAGCAGCTGTGCTCTTGACAGTTGGCAGTTTATTAGTAACACCTAGATAAAAATGTATGTTTAAAACAACAGCCCAAGCAAGAATGGCGCTAGTTTTAGCTTGGTGGACACAAGTGAACTGGCAATGAGTGTTGATGAAATTTCTCATGTTTTCTTTTTTTTTTGTTCTTTTTGAAAGTAAAACCACATATTTACATACAAAATAACTTGGAAAACATCTTTTTTTTTTCATCCATGGTGTGTGTCATGTGATGTGTTTTTGGCAACACTAAATCTATGGATACTCATTTTCACATAAATTGTGAAGCAGTGTATTCAGTTTAGAGGATCAGTCCTCTAAAATCCACATTCATAAATTGACCGTGTTTTTATTTTGTTTAAGATGATGTTCATGATTACCAAATTATTTGGACCAAACAAAAGTTGCCACTACTTTTATATTAAACGGTTGTTAATACTGGAATTGGAATGTTTTATTTGTTCCTACTGAAGTGAAATAAATGACCAGTACTCAAAAAAATAATGTAACAATTTGCATGGACATGTCTGAGGAATGTAGGATGGAAGTCAAATTAAAAATTTGCAAAAGTAATTTCACCATGTAATATCACCAAAACTTTTAAATTAAGTTCTTAGGTCAAACTTTTTTTTTTCATCCATGGTGTGTGTCATGTGATGTGTTTTTGGCAACACTAAATCTATGGATACTCATTTTCACATAAATTGTGAAGCAGTGTATTCAGTTTAGAGGATCAGTCCTCTAAAATCCACATTCATAAATTGACCGTGTTTTTATTTTGTTTAAGATGATGTTCATGATTACCAAATTATTTGGACCAAACAAAAGTTGCCACTACTTTTATATTAAACGGTTGTTAATACTGGAATTGGAATGTTTTATTTGTTCCTACTGAAGTGAAATAAATGACCAGTACTCAAAAAAATAATGTAACAATTTGCATGGACATGTCTGAGTAGGATGGAAGTCAAATTAAAAATTTGCTAAAGTAATTTCACCATGTAATATCACCAAAACTTTGAAATTAAGTTCTTAGGTCAAACTAGGGGTCCGTTCTTCGTACCTCGCTTATTACATCTGAGATGATTTGAAAGATGCCAGATCTTCTAATCCTGATAACTGATCTCTGGCTAATTTGGTTCTTCAAACGAATTTGCAAATTTGATTAAAATATCTGGATTAAGTTGTCTAGGATTACTGCGCGTTCTTGTGTTCCCCGAAAATGGCAGATGTATCGATGCTCGAAACCACGATCAGCAATGCGGCGAGACCGCAACGTAATGACATCATATAATTCAAAAAGACAATGACGAAAAACGTGACACATTTCTGAACCTTTATAAGGAAACAGCCAAGTGAACAAAACTACATAAATGGTATAATAAATAAATGAAATGTGCACTGTTTATTGTATTTGAAAAATTTGACATGATTCCCAATTATTTATATTCACGATTTCTAGTATTTGTACAGGCTTTACATTTTTTATTTCAATGTTGCAATTCATCTAATTTTATCTTTGAAACAGATTTGTTACGTGACAGCATTAATTAAACTTTCTTAAGGGTCAAGATCAAGTTATCTGCATCTTCTGCGCTCCATCAAGCCACTCCCATAATATCTGTCACCACTCAAATTAATGTACGGCTCAGACTAACTGTATAGCATGAGTGTAAGAATTCAAAGAATACAATTATAAAGTAATTATTTCATCACAAATACATTTTTCAACGAGTAAACCTGGCTGTCTATAGTATTATAGGTGACTACACAACATTATAATATATTTTGTATTATATATATATATATATATATATATATATTTTGTATTCATTTTTAAATTATTATTATTGTTAGTGGATAAGTAAGGTACTCTGGTAATAATGTAGCAGTGGCTGGGACAGATTTTAAGTATCAATTCTGCTTACAAATATATGATCTAATCCTGTTTACATGAAATAAGCCTGCTCCGCGAAGAGCTTTGAAGAACCAACCAATCCAAGATCAAGCGAAATCGTCAACAATCAAATCCAGCTAACTGAGTTAGAGATGTACGAAGAACGGGCCCCAGATCATGTGACACATACTTGGACTTAGTGCTCTGCATTTAACCCAGTTGGGGGTTCTGTGCCTTGCTCAAGGGCACCTCAGTCGTGGTATTGAAGGTGGGAGAGAGCGCTGTACATTCACTCCCCCCACCTACAATCCCTGCCGGTACAAGACTCGAACCCACAACCTTTGGGTTATGAGTCCGACTTTCTAACCATTAGGCCATGACTTCCCACATCATGTTGGCTGTACTAACACAAACTGGTGTCTTATACTCAATAATGACTTAGTTGGAATCAGAGGTGCAGTCAAAATCAGACCCTTCAAGACTAGACCCCTTAAGACCAAGTGCACCACACACATCCTGAAAAGTGAGGTCAAAATATTTTGATCGCCCCCTGGTGGTTATCTACAGAATAGGTCATAAACTCCACCCTCTCCATGTAAATTAATGGGACGTGAACAAAAATAAATAAATAAAATTACACCAAGTAATTTTTTTTCCACAAAGATGTTTTTGACATTTTAGCTTTTGCCTCGCATGTTTAAAGGGTTAGTTCACCCAAAAACGAAAATTCTGTCATTAATTACTTGTAATCAGCATTGTTTACGTTCAGCATGCGCGCTCTTTTTACTAAACGTAAACTACGTTGATTACGTTCTGGGGCACTTTCCAAAATGGCGGAAGATGGTAACTCGGGGAGAAGAATTGTTGAATAAATTGTTATTATTGTTTTCTTTGCACACAAAACGTATTCTCATAGCTTCATTAAAAAAAAATACGGTTGAACCACTGATGTCACATGGACTGTTGTACCGATGTCCTTGCTACGTTTCTGGACCTGGGAACATTATAGTTGCATCGCTGTCTATGGAGGGACAGAATCAGCATTGTTTACGTTCAGCATGCGCGCTCTTTTTACTAAACGTAAACTACGTTGATTACGTTCTGGGGCACTTTCCAAAATGGCGGAAGATGGTAACTCGGGGAGAAGAATTGTTGAATAAATTGTTATTATTGTTTTCTTTGCACACAAAACGTATTCTCATAGCTTCATAAAAAAAAAATACGGTTGAACCACTGATGTCACATGGACTGTTGTACCGATGTCCTTGCTACGTTTCTGGACCTGGGAACATTATAGTTGCATCGCTGTCTATGGAGGGACAGAGAGCTCTCAGATTTTATCAAAAATATCTTAATTTGTGTTCTGAAGATGAACGAAGGTCTTACGGGTTTGGCACAAGGGTGAGAAATTAATGACAGAATTTTAATTTTTGGGTGAACTAACCCTTTAAATGTTCGTTTTTCTAACAAGTTTGGTTTTAGTGCTTTGATGCTATAAAAAGGGGGTGTGATGTCATGATTGACAGCTTCAGTAACAGAGGCACTGGCAGACTTCTTTCAGGAGCTTCGGGAAGAGAATCAAACTTTAACTTTTAATTTTCCATATCTGTGGTGTTTCACACTGACAAAATGAGTCGTTCTGCAGTAAACTGTACTAAGGGATCTGAGGGACTATTTTAGTTTGTTTGGTAAGTTAAATATGTTCTTTATAAGCTCTTTAGTAAATATGTTATTGGCAAGCTAAGACAACTAGCTTAACTTTAGCCATGTGGGAAAAGGCAAATGATTGTTACTAGCAGTAACAATTTTTGTCAGAAAGTAATATGGAAAAAATCAATTCTATCAGTCTGTGGGACCTTGATACCATGGCTCCGCTTCAAGATCACTACTGCGCGGACTTTGACTCCAAATGACATCAACGGCAGTGGCTATCGTTGGGATATTTTGGCTTCACTTTTCTGAAGTGATGATGTGTCGCTCGTCTTTCAAATCTAGACCCTTCAAAGCCAAATTTTTCACCCTCTTCAGACATTATGGTTGGGGTGGTCTTAAAAATGGTGGATTTAGAATTAATATTTAGGCATCCTCAGCCGAATTTTCATAGTAGACCTACCTCATGTCAATAGATCACCAGGGTTAATAGATCACCTAGAAAGACCATTACAGTTATGTAGTACTTATATAGCCTGCACAGTATGTGTATTTTGTTTGTTTCCTTGTTTGCTTTTATTGTCCTCTTAAGGGGAACCTAGTTTTGCAGCATGGTGACAGACAATTACAACTAATAAAAATACCTATGAAGAGTTCAATAAATTGTGTTGTTCTACCTCCTGGGACTCTGAAACGATGCTCAAAAGGCAACACTTCATAATTATGTAATGGGTGGGAAAAATCTAATTTTCAAAGAATTAAATGAGCCTTACTTAGAATGTATGATAAATTTCAATTGTCAACACTTGACCTTATGCCAACCTCCTAAAGTCCATTAACATTAGTCCTTAGTTTCCACATTTACTGAAGGTGGAATTTATTACTCATTACAAAGCCATTTACTACAAGATCATGTTCCTGTAGAAGACTTACTATCTCTTGAGTCATCTTGCATTGTTATATCTGTCTCCCCCCCCCCCCCCCCCCCCCCCAAAAAAAAGCAAAGGAAAACAGATTATGAGAAAACCTGCAAGTTTTTGGGGACACACCACATTGTTTCATTGTAAAATGAGGCACTGTAAAACCAAGCTTCCATGTTCACCATATTTGTTGAACTCTATGTGATCTTTGTTTAGATGTAAATAAAACCACCACTTCGAAAGGAAGTGGAGAACCTGGTAACTGGAATGTTGGAAAGATTGTTTTGGGAATAACCTAACCTATAACAATTTTTGAGCAATACACTTTTTCTTCCATGTGTGCTGCTACAAACCATCCATGGTCTGCCTCATGCAACCAAAAGTAGACAAGAGTAACTAACAACTACCAATGAATGCTATGAATAGATAAGGTGCATTAAATTGATGAATTCAAGTGACTCAGAAACTGTTGTTCCTCTGAGCCGAATAAGGTAAACCTTTGTCTGAATTCAACAAATAAAGAGAATGATTGTAATGAACTGACTACACAATCAGCTATACAAAATCTAATGCAAAAATGTAGAGAATCATATACTGAGAATACACACTAAGGTGTTTGGAAAGAGGTTTGATAAAGTGACATTAGGTGCTTTCACACCGCATATGGCGCTTTTCCACTGCATGGTACGGCACGG